AAGTAGATAGGAGGATCCAATGACTTACCGAAAATCGATTACGGTCATCCTGAATCGCCACGCGAATCGTCGTCTTGTTTGTCTTGCGACTTCGACGGAGGTCCACGATGATGACGTGACATTTCTCGATTTTCGTGAACGATCCATGAAGAAGTTACTTTTCTTTGGCTCATGCCATCGTAACAGAGCTGTAATAAAATAAGACATTTATATTCCATAGTTCTCCATATTATTGGATAATAAAATTTAAACGGATTATGCAATTGCTTCAAAAATTCGCAAACGAAATCGAAAAGTTCAATTTTTTTCTTTCTTTTTTTTTTCTTTTACAAAAATTGAAAAATAAAATGAAACGAATTCATTATGGTATTTCTTCAAAAAATTCGTACAAATTATTCGAGTTGTCAATGAATTGGAAAATAAAATAAAAAATTTATCTAATTTGTTAGCGACGTATGAATAAAAGTAACAGAAAAAGAAAAAAAAAGAAAAAAAAAAAGGAAAAGAAAAACGAATCGCGATTCATCTTTGTCACTTTTGCTAAATACCATTATTTACATTAAAATGTGTGCCATAAGTAACAATAAAATCCCTTGCATAAGCGTTCCTCTTAATCGAGTTCAATGTAAAGAAAAAGAAAACAGATGGAAATGAAGGACAACGTGTGTGACAAGGCACACTAACATCTCCTGTATAAACAGCTGTTAAGAATGAGATCACAAATGGAGACCGAGAGAGGGAGAGAGAGAGAGAGAGAGAGAGAGAGAGAGAGAGAGAGAGAGAGAGAGAGAGAGAGAGAGAGAGAGAGAGAGAGAGAGAGAGAGAGAGAGAGAGAGAGAGAGAGAGAGAGAGAGAGAGAGAGAGAGAGAGAAAGAGAAAGAGAAAGAGAAAGAGAGAGAGAGAGAGAGAGAGAGAGAGAGAGAGAGAGAGAGAAATAGTTTCTTCATTTCCATAATTTTATGAACTAATAAGAAATTGTTTACTATGATTAACGATATATATGAGAATATATAAGATCGTGATCTCTTTTAAGTAAATGACAGAAACGATTAATATATATATATATATATATATATATATATATATATATATATATATATATACATATATATATATATAATATTGATATATATATAATATTATATATTGATATTATATATTTTATATATAAATATATTATATATTATATATTATATATTATATATTTATAATTAATCATAAATAAATGATTTTTTTAAATTTAATAATTTGAATAATTATTATCAATTCACTTTATATTCACTTTATATTTATATTATATATTATATTATTTTATAATAAACAGAATAAAAATTCGAAAATAGAATTTATTTTATTTTCCCATCAGCAGAAAACTAAAAAATATTTCTTAATCGCACATGATGACGGCAATCGATATACGTCACTGTAACATTTTAATCAAACTGACGGAAACTTTGATTACCTTAAGAAAATTGCTCTCTTCTGCAATTTCTCTCTTTCTCCCTCTTTCTCTCTTCTTCTTCTTCTTCTTCTTCTTCTTCTTCTTCTTCTCTCACTCTCTCTCTCTCTCTTCTTCTCCTTCTCTCTCTCTCTCCCTTTCTCTCTTCTGTTCTTCCTATTCGTTTCACGATCGTTCGAAAGGAAAGAGAATGCGGAAGAAGATGGAGAACGTTGGCGTCCGTAACGATTTTCCCGCGCACGAGCACGTTTCAAAAGAGCCAGAGCAACAGCAACTGCAGCAGCAACATCAACGTATTCTCGTCTCTTATAATCCCATTCAAATATCAGCCGAAGAACAAGAAGAAGAAGAAGAAGAAGAAGAAGAAGAAGAAGAAGAAGAACAAGAAGAAGAAAAGGAGGACGTTGATGAAGAAGAAGAAGGAGGAAGAGGAGGAGAAGGAGGAGGAGCGGAGGCGTCAAAGATTAGAACAGCAGGTGGACTTACGATTACACATCAAAACACGTGTCACATATCTTTCGTAAAGAAAATTAGAGAGAGGGAGAGAAAGAGAGAGAGAGAGAGAGAGAAAAGAGAGAAACAAATTTTAATAACTCTAATAATAATAATAATAATAATAATAATAATGATATGATAATGATGATTACGATAATAATATAAGATAGAAAACTATTTCACCGAAACTATTTTTAAGAAGAACAAAAAAAAAAAAATAAAATAAAATAAAATAAAATAAATAAATAAAGAAACGAATGAAACGGGAAAGTAAAAAAAAAAAAACGAATTGTAATAAACTTGTAGAAAAACTTGTAATTGAATTCGTTCGAATGGTAATAAGAAAAGAAAAGGAAAACAAATGTATCTATCGTATTTTTCTCCTTCTTTCTTTCTTTCTTTCTTTCTTTCTTTCTTTCTTTCTTTCTTCCTTCCTTCCTTCCTTCCTTCCTTCCTTCCTTCCTTCGTTCGTTCGTTCGCGCGCGTTTGAACTTTGCGATCGGAAGTGCGGTGTGTGTGCGCGCACGTATGTACGCCGCCGCGACAGGAATGATAGTGAGTAAAGTGGGAGAGCCTGCGGGAAATATATAGGCCGCAGGGTAACATTCGATAGGTGGTGGGGGTAGGAGGTGGGAGCAAAAGGTGGGTGGAAGGGGGTCATTCTGCGCTCATCCCTCGCGTGCGTATGCGCAAGTAAAATAAGTAAGTAAGTAACTAAGTACTTACTCCGTGGAAATTTTCATTCCACTTTATCGATGATTATTTATTTGTTTTATCATTTATATAATTATTCCATTACTTTCGTATAAGTACTATATATATATATGTATATATATATATATATATATATATATATGTTTATAAAAACGAAAAAAAAAAAGAATGAAGATTTAAATGGAATAATGTATAAAGATATATATATATATACATACATACACACATACACACAAGCGCAAGCATATACACACACATATTGAATACGTATTGTTGGTTTATTGTTATTAATATATATATATATATTATACATACACAAGAACAAAGATATAGGACAGGTATGATTATATAAATTATAAAATAAAGTAATACGTATCTCGGTAAAATTGAAAGAAAAAAAAAATAATTAATAAATAAATTCAATATATTTATATATTGTTTTTTGTGTCATTTTTACTTTATTATTGAATAAAAATTATTAATAAATTATTTCGATATTAATGAGAATAAATCTTTATTTTGTTTATTTATTCATATTTATATAAACGAAAATATAAAAGGATAAAAGTGATATGCAATACATAATGCATAAAATGATATATTGGACTGGCCAATAATCAATGTAACTTTATTATAATATGTAGACATGTATTTCGATATGTAAAATATTAGTGTTGTTTATTTACATATGAAATATTATAAAATATTTCAGTAAAGAAAATACTCTATTAGCATTATTTATTTAGATATAACATAACATTTTTTTCAGTAAAAATATAATGATATAATATCTCCTTTTTTTTATTTTGATATATTCTCTATTTATTTAAATATAGAACAGTATTATATTTTCAATAAAAAAAAAAAAAAAGAAAAACCACTTTCCGTAATGTTATTCATTTAGATATGAAATAACAAATATTAAAAAGGAAAAAAATTACCATTGTGTTATTTATTTAGATATAAGATATAAAAATTTTTTTTTCCAATAAAAAATACAATAATGTATGTTATTTATTTAGATATTAAATATTAACAATTTTTAATAAAAATATATAATCTATTTAAATAATAATCTACATAAATGTGAACTATTAAAAATTTCGGCATTACTTGTTGTTGGTCAATCGATTAAATTAATGCAAAATCTGTTATAATAAATTGCCATACTAATTAAAATTATCTCTGGCGTAACTAGAAATAAAAAAAAAAAAAGAAAAAAAAAGGAAAACAAACTGCACGATTATATACATTTATGTACAAAATGAAAAAAAAAGAAAGCAAATAAAATGGATAGACGTTATCGAAACGATTGAACGCGAGCATAAGCTTTCGAATTTGAGACAACATCGTGCAATTTAATCTGTAAAATTATCATACCAGCAGGCGAGTAAGATATCGATTGTAACGAATGATGATTAATTGAGAGAATGAAAAAGGAAAAAAAACAAAAAAAAAAAAATAAATAAATAAAAAGAACAAAAAAATAAAACAACAACAACAACAACAACAACGTATATCGAGCTTGACGCAATTTGATAAAGTATATTGGAACGGTCGTAAAGTTCGAACGAATAAATTATAATCGATTATACGTTCTCCGTTGAATGACACAAATCAGTTACGTTAATCTTTATCGAACGATGAAAGAGAAAGAGAGAAAGAAAGAGAGAGAGAGAGAGAGAGAGAGAAAAAAAAAGAAAACGATTAGAATTTCCAAGAAATTTCTGATATTCAATTTTTCGATCTTCTTTCTATGATCTCGCCGACTTTGGAAGCTAAATCATTCAAGAATAAAGTTATCCTAATCATACTTCCTGGCGTATTTGAGATAACGTTAAATCTTACAATGCAATGAATAGGTTTTGTAGAAAAAAAAAAAAAAAAGAAAAGAAAACGAAAAAGAAATTTAGAAAAATGAATAAATAAAAAACAATAAAACATTGCAAGAAAAGTAGAAAGAAAGAGGAAAGAAGAAAAGGAAAAGAGAAGAAAAGAAAAAGAAAAGAAAAAAAAGAAAACACAAAAAAAAAAAAGATAAATAAATAAATTCAAATATACGAGTCACTTGATGTAATTGAAAATTTGTGAATGAACGAAGGAAAATATGATGATCGAACTTTCGTTTACTAGATATACAAAGACATGGCTTCTTAGACGTTGATTCTTCAAAGTTATTCGAGGAATGACTTTCTTCCGCAATGTGCTATCCATTAGACTGGCGCCATTACGATCGTTCGCGGTAGAGTAAAAGGCCGTTCTCATTTCACATCGTCGTCGTTAAGCGTATACTAGAAATTGTGGTAATAAAGTATCGGCAGGTTGATCGAACCTGGGCTACTGGTTAAAAAGAAAAGAGAGAGAGAGAGAGAGAGAGAGAGAGAGAGAGAGAGAAAAAAAGAAAAAGAAAGAAAGAAAGAAAAAAAGAAAAAAAAATAAATAAAAAAGGTTAAATAAATAAAAACATATGTACGAGGTAAATGATGTCAATACGATTTGTTCTCTCGAATCGTACGTTGCCGATGTCGTGTATTACTCGTTCGCAATTCACGTCTTGAGATAGGAAATAGAAAAGAAAGAAATAATGATGGTTTATAATCGATAAATTATTTTCTAAGAAATCAACTACGAAAGTTGAAAATCCGAGACGTTTTCTTCGAAGCACGCGTACGATGACATAAGTGTTATAAGAGAAGGTGTTAAACAACCAGGATAAAACGTAGATTGTAAAAGGAACGACTGCAAGTGAATGTAAATGATATATGAATTGATTTACCTTCCGTTGGTTTTATCTTTTATACAGATCAAATTTATCAGATGAATTTAAAGTACGATTGAAAGGATTATATTGATATATAAATCGATATTACAATATCGAATGAATTTTTGAAAAACATTCTGCGAAACTTTATTATTAAGATAATGTAAATTTGAATTAATTTATGTTCTAATCGAATAATTATGAAAAATACTTTAAGAACATTAATAAGTTTTTGAGAGAAATATAAATGAATCGATTTATGTTTTAAATTAATTTTGTATAAGCAGATAGATATTTAAAATATCGAACGAATTTTGAAGAACACTATAAGAAACTTTAATAACAAATTATATTAAGAAAATATAAATATGAATTATATTTATGTAATCGAACATTATATGAAAAATACATTAATACGATTCTAAGAGAATATAGATGAATCGATTTATATTTCATTAAATTATCTTTATATAAATAGATCAATATTTAAATATCGAACGAATTTAAAGAACTCTTTGAGATATATTAATTGCAAATGATCGTGAAAGAAAAAAGAAAAACTAAGTGAATTAATTTATATATTAAACTTTTTATCTAGATAGAAGATCGATATTTACATAAATATCGAAGAAATTTGAAAAACTCTTTCGAAAACGTCAACTACAAACGATTATAAGAAGAAGAAGAAAAAAAAAATATATATATATATATAAACGAATTAATTAATATTCCAAATTTTTTTTATCTTGATATAGACCTATATCTAATACAATCGAACGAATTATGTGGAAATCTTAAAAAAAAAAAAAAAAAGAAAAAAACATTCGTCGCAAACGATTGTAAAGGAATATAAATGAATTTTGATTTACGTTTTAAATTATGTTTATATACGTGAATCCGATATTTGAATATCGATACGTTTTGAACAACTCTCATCTAAGAACATTAATTTAAAATGACAACTGTTATCGATACTTTATAATGCATCTCTACGAATATGCAACCATTAAATATTCGATCTTATAAATTGTATTTATTAGTAATAAAACAGTAGATATTGGAACACAGGAGAACACAGTAGTGGCACCCTACATCTTCGGGTTCGAACGTTTATATCATACTTTCGTTCTCAGCTCGTACCTCTTTCCACATTCTCAGCCTCCGTCAACATTAACATACGGGGACTCGGGAGTTATATACGTGTAAAAGCGATAAGTCACGATATAAAAGCGATAAAAAAAAGAAAAAAGGAAAAAGGAAAAAGGAAAGAAAAAAAAAGAAAGAAAGAAAGAATGAAGGAAAGATAGAAAAAAAAAACCAAAAGTCGCCTATGAAAGGAAGTAAGTCATCTGTACGACAAACCTGACTCTATGATTATGCTCAACACTACTCAACCTTGACACTAGGTTCTTATATTTAATAGAATCTTAAATAGGACATAGTAATTCAAATGATTTTCCTATTTCGATCTCTAGACTATGAATGATGTCTCTTGTTACATCATTCGCCACACCTTTTCTTTTTCTCTCTTCTTCTTTTCTTTTCTTTTTCTTTCTCTATTCATCATCTATACCCAGAAACAACAAGTTTGACATGGAGCGAATTTAGAGAGAGAGAGAGAGAGAGAGAGAGAGAGAGAGAAAGAGAGAGAGAGAGAGAGAGAGAGAGAAAGAGAGAGAGAGAGAGAGAGAGAAAGAGAGAGAGAGAGAGAGAGAGAGAGAGAGAGAGAGAGAGAGAGAGAGAGAGAGAGAAAAGAAAAGAAATGAAAAATAAAGAAACAAAAAATTAGCAAAAAAACTTTACCCGTTACGACTCCCATTAACCTCATTGAGAGAAATCTACGGCGTAGCATACAGCTATAACGTACCCCACGTGCGATATAACCGATCGTAAATACATCGGGAAATCAGTGTGAGGCAGGAAAACCGCGAGGAAGCTTGTATACCTATATATATATATATATTATATATATATATATATATATATATATATATGTACCATACTTACTGAGGACAATGTGAAAGAGAAAGAAAGAAGGAAAGAAAGAGATAATCATTGATTCGTGTTTCGA